GTCGTCGACGTCGCAAGAACGCGCGGCAGGAGGAGGAGGAAGAGGAGGAGCAGGGGAAGGGGGAAGTGGACAAGGAGAGGAGGAAGGAGGAGTAGGACGACGAGCGCTGGCGGTGTCGTTTCTCTCTCCCATGACCTGTCCCTCTCGCTTAATTCCCCCTGGTGCCCCACACCTATGACGCAGCGGACCCACGCGTGCCTACGGCAAGTTCGTGTCGTGACGATCCCGGCGTTAGTTTTTGACACCGCGTGGATCGTTCAACCTTGAACGATCGGCGGCTCTTCGATCGCCCGATCGTTCCATATAGGCCGATTCTGGGCCGCTGGCGGCGTTCAACCCTGAACGCCCGCGGCGGGATCGCCGAGGGTCGACACGACGCAAACCTACCCTACAGACTCGAGTTGAGGGACGGGAAGGTCCCATTGCACCCGATCCCTCTGCGGCCCCCGCCGTCAGCGCGCGCACGCGGGAAAGGGGGGCCTTGACGGCAAGGGCGGGGTGCCGCGTGTTCCAGACCTGGATGGTCCCGGCCTCGGGGCAGACGCTGGACACGGGGCAGAAGGAAGCGGAGGGGGAGGAAGATCCACGTTCTCGCCGAGAACGTAGGAAGGCACCAACTATACACCAACACCGATCCTGGTCAGGATCACCCTGGGCCCAGGATCGGTGTATACGCCCTCCTGCCTTGGGCAAGAAGGCATATACACCGATCATGGGCCCAGGGTGATCCTGGGTCAGGATCGGTGTTGGTGTATAGTTGGTGCCCTCCGAGAACGTGCATCTTCTTCCGAGAACGTGCGAGATCTCGCCGAGCCACCACCGAGAACTTCTCGGTGGCTGCTCATCTTTCTTGGGCCTCCGGGTGGCTTCTCGTCGCCACGGGCGAACCCCCCGCGACACGCTGGCCAGAGCGCACTCAGGGACAAGTGCGAGGGCCGGCTCCTCGGGACGGGGGCCGGAAGACGAGAACGGGAGGAGGGGGGAGCGGAGGGGGCGGGAGGGCGAGGGCGGAGGAGGAAGGAGAGGGCGAGGGCAAGGGCAAAGGGGCAGAGGGGGGCCAGGGCAGGGACGGGGAGGGAGGGGGCGGGGGGCGGGTGAGCGACGCTGGTCGCGAAGCGAGCTCGAAAGCCAGATTGGTTACGCCCCCCTCTTCCAGGCCTTCTCGGCCCGACTTCGAACCTTCGACTGGTGGCCCCAGAGGATTCGATCTGGAGGGTGGATGGGGGCGAGGGCCAGGAGCAAAGGCCGGCAGCGAGCCCGGGGCGGAAGTGAGAAGGGGCGGGCCTTCTCAAAGGCTCAGAAATCCCCCAGCCCTCTGAGAAGCTCCCTAAGCCTTCCCCGAAGATACGGAAAAAACCTCTCAAAGGCCGGAGCGCTTCTGACAAGCCCCGCCGCCTTCTGAGAAGGCCTTCTCCTTCTCACTTCCTGCCCTCGCTCGCCGCCGAGGAGGGCCCGGGAGGCAGGGCAGGGACAGAGAGGGGTGGGGGGGGGACAGGTCGCACCTTCGCCAGCCTGCTCGCGCGCCACGTCGGGCGACGGCCCTTTCTCGGAGACGCACCGCGGGAGGAGGAGGAGGAGGAGGAGGAGGAGGAGGAGGAGGAGGAGGAGGAGGAGGAGGAGGGAGAGGAGGAGGAGGAGGAGGAGGCGTAGGAGTAAGAAGAGGAGGAGGAGGAGGAATTAATTGCTTTTCCCCACGTCATAGTGTCATCCCTACAACTTGTTTCGAGGAGGAGCAGCAGCAGCAGCAGCAGCAGCAGCAGCAGCAGCGTGAGCAGGAGCAGGAGCAGGAGCAGGAGCAGAAAGCGTAGCGGTTCCCACCCAGAAGTGCCTGGTTTTGTTATGCCGTCCCCCTCAAACGGACCCCTTCGTCGCAATGTCCAAGGCCGTCCACGGCGATCCTAAAATCGAAAACCAACCAAACCGACAGCAACTCCGAAACTGACCGAAACCGACAGGCCGCAGGCAGCCTAGAAGGGCGCAACGACGCAGCAACGACACAACAACCGATCGAACCGAACCGAATAGACCAAACGCAACCTGCTGCGACGCAGCCGAATCGACCGAACCGCAGACACCCTTCGTCTCTTGGCACTGGTGGAAGAAACAGCCGTCAAGGATTAGAACCAGCCACCGTGCTTCACGTGTCGACTTGGCTCGCGATCATTGCCGCTCGTGTGGCCAAGTGGTTTCCCAGAATGTGAAGCGAGAACTTGGACACACACACACACACACACAGGGCACATGGAGACTCGAAACAACACCACGCGGAGGACGGTGAGACTGCGGAGGAGGATCGAAACGGGGGGATTGGCCCTGGGGGAAGACAATGACCTGGAATCGGCGATGCATCGCCGATAGATCAGCGACAGGCCCCTGATGGCAAAAACGCACTTTCCTGGGCGGGTAGTGGGGCCCGGGCCCACACTGGAGAGGAGACGGAGACTGGGAGGTGATGCTGCCCCCCTGGGCCAGTCCCCTCCGTCCGGCGCCCCTGAACATGGAGCTTCGAAACAGCACGGAGCGAAGGACGGTCGGACTGCGGATGTGAATCAGAACACAGATGAGCAGGATAAGGGCGAGAGAGGAATGTTCTCCGAATAGGCTTGTCCTATAGGAGTTCTAACTCAAACCCTACTAACTGGTCCGCTGCCCCCCCCCCCCCAAAAAAAAACCTATGCCCGCCCCCTAATTCCTATGGCTATGCTTATGCCTATGCCTATGCCTCCCCCCTAATTCCTATGCCTACGCCTACGCCTACACCTACGTCTACGCCTACGCCTACGCCTACGCCTACGCCTATGCCTATGCCTATGCCTATGCCTATGCCTATGCCTATGCCTATGCCTATGCCTATGCCTATGCCTATGCCTATGCCTATGCTCGATTGCGCTTGCTTGCTTCCGCTTGCTTGCTTGCGCTTGCTTGATTTTGCCCCTCCCGTCCTCCTCCCGTCCTGCTCCCGTCCTCCTTTCGTCCTCCTCCCATCCTCCTCTCGTCCTCCTCCTGTCCTCCTATCTATTTGGAGTCAACGCTGGCTGATGTGCTTTTCCAAGCGCAGTTTTGGAGGGGAGGCGGGGGAGCTGACACAACGGCACGATGGCAGAATCAGGGCGAGAGAGCAATTATTGAAAAAGGAAAGTGCCGAGACTGGGCACGCGCATACCACAAAGCGGGTTGTCGCGTGAGCCCTGGAAGGGGGTTCCGGCGAGTAGCGCCGCGAAAATCTTCAGCGTCTGCATTGGCAGCGCTAGCAATCGCTGCCGTGGCTCGAACCAATACTTCAGAGATCTGCAGATGAGCCCGACTTCTCGTGTTCAGAAGGTCCAGCGCGTCGATTCGAGCCAAAACGGCCTGGGGGAAATGGGCTACGGATCAAAAGAACACGGGCGCACTGGTCAGTTGGAGAGCCACGTGGGAAGCCAAACCTCCACCTAATTTTACCTTGCAGCAGAAAAGCCAGAACTACAAAGTGTGCCATGAGCAATGGGACCAGTGAGCCGAATGACAGCAGTGATTTCTATGGTGAGTGGCCCCAGCACCCACCACCCAAAGCTGAGGGCACCTGATGAAGAGCACTATAACGACACACCTGCTCGCACGTGATCGCCTCGTTAATCGCACGCTTGATTTACCTAAAGATGCGAAAACGGGACAGCATTCCCTCAGCATGATTGCCCAGAGGGTTCCCCACCCCAACCCACACGCATGGTTTGCGTCAGCGGGCTGCTACGAGCATCCGACCAGCCAGTACGCGTTAGCCCCTGACTGCAATGCCTTTGAGAAGCGGGGCGATCGACGCGAAGAGCGGCATGTAGACTTCAAGCGTCGGGCAAGGCCAGTCCACCAGTCGCTCGATGTGCAGCTGGCATCCACGGCGTCGTCCCACCCCACCACGCTCACTCACGCCAGTCTTGGTCCAGGAGCGGGCTCCTGTGAACCTGGAGCACCTACCTGAGCCTGGTTCCTAGGCTTACTAGGCTTTCGTTTGGGGGTTGGACGTGGGTATTCGGCTTCAGCTCAGCTCCATATTAGCATCAGCTTAGCTCAGAGAAGCCTCGACATAGATTTGGCTTGGGCTGCTTATACTACATTTGGTTTACCGCTAGCTGCCTCGCCGGACACAGACTGATCGTTTGGCTAAACTTAAAATTATGTGTAGCGTTACTCGTAGCTGGTGCTCGCTGTAGCGTTAGCTGCTCAGCCTAACGTACCCTTGGTTGCCGCCCGAGTGGTCGCCGCCTGCTCTTGGCTAGGACGAAGCACCACGTTGGCGTAGTTTCATCTGCCACCGTGCCTTTTGCACGTTGGGGCGTGGAAGAATGCCAAGGGCTGCCTGGTGCCAAGGGCTGTCTGGCAGGGGTTCTACAATCTAATGAGAGCCCCCGCCCCCTCCCCCAGTCGAGTCTCCCCACAAGCACCGCTCCCCTTCCGATGCAACGGTCCCTCGCAAAAAAAACGATGGATCCGAGCTCCCGAGGGCACGATGCTTCTGTTGAGAAAAAAACTATTGGTACGCGCCCCAAGCTTCACATAAGGCCCGTGCAGGCAGCCAAGAACACCAAGATTGCCCAAGATACTTCGAAGACGGCCCAAGATGGCCCCAAGACGGCCCAGTTTGGCCTCAAGACGGCCCAAGTATGCATCCAAAGGGGCAAAAAAAGCAACACAAGGATCTCCAGAAAGGCCTGAAGAAACTAAATCAGTGATGTCCCGCGGTTGGTTGAATGAGATCCGCGTGCTCGCCGTGTCGGGCGTCTGTCAAGGGGCATACAGTGGTCCCAAGACGGTCCAAGAGGCCCCCAAGAGGGCCCCAAGGTGGCCCAAGAGGTCCCACGATAGCCACAGAGGTATCCGAGACGGTCCAAAAACGGTTATATATATATGAGGAAGAGAGAGGAAGAAGAAAAAAACAAAAAAAACAACAAAAAAAACATAAAAAAACGTGGTACCCGAGACGGCCTTGGAAGGCCGTTCGACCTGCCAAAGACGGCCCCAAAGCACCCACCATAAGGCCAAGAGGGCCCCAAGACTGCGTAAGAGTGCCCCCAAATAGCGTAAGAGGGCCCCAAGACGGCCCAAAAGGGCCTCAAGGGACTGCAACCTGCCTCGCAGGAGGCCAAGGCAGCCCCAAAACGGCGGAGACGAGGTACATGTGACGGCGCTCCCCTTCCTCATCCTCCTCCTCCTCCCCTCCTCCTCCACCTCCTCCTCCTCCTCCACCTCCCCCTCCTCCTCCTCCGCATCATCCTCCGCATCCTCCTCCTTATCCTCCTCCTCCTCCTCCTCTTCCTCCTCCTCCTCCTCATCATCATCATCATCATCATCAGCATCATCATCATCACCATCACCAGCATCACAGCCATCGTCAGCACAATCACCACCGTCGCAATCCTAGACAGGATCATCAACAGACTTGCCCAGCATCACCATCAGAATACATTTACGAATAACAATAATAATGATGATAAGAATCAGAATGCTCATGGTGACAATAGTAGTAGTGATGATAGTAATAATAATAATAATGATAATCATCATCATAATCATCATCATCATCATCATCATCATCATCATCATCAGCATCATCAGCATCATCATCATCAATCACAGCATCATCAGCATCAGCATCAACAGCAGCAGCATCAGCATCTGCATCAGCATCATTATCAGCATAAACATCACCATCACTATCATCATCAGCACCATCATCATCAGCAGCAGCGTCATCATTATCATCATCAGCAGCAGCAACATCATCAGCATCATCATCAGCATCATCAGTAGTAGCATCATCAGCATTACCATCGGCATCATCAGCATCAGCATGATCGTCGTCGTCGCCAGCACCGTCATTACCAGCAACGTCAACAACATAAGCATCTTCATCATCAGCATCGTCTTCCGCATCATCATCATGATCATCATCATCAGCAGCATTATCATCGTCATCAGCAGCAGCATCATTGTCATCATCATCATCGTCATCAGCATCGTGATAATCATCATAAGCATCAGCAGCATCAGCATCATCAGCAACGTCATCGTCATAGTCATCAGCATCAGCATCAGCATCATCAGCAGCATCAGCGTCAACAGCATCAGCATTAGAATCAGTATCATCATCATACGCGTCATCTGCATCATCATGTTTGGCGTCGTCCTCATCGTCATCGTCACCATCAGCATCAGCATCATTAGCATCATCGTCATCATCATCGTCTTTCAGCATCGTCATCATCATCCTCATCATCGTCAGCATCATCGTCATCGTCATCGTCATCTTCATTTGCATCATGGCCGTCCACATCCTCCTTCTCCTCATAATCCTCCTCATCCTCATCCTCAACATCTGCATCATCATCATCATCATCATCATCGGCATCATCATCATCATCATCATCATCATTATCATCATCGTCATCATCATCATCATCGTCATCATCATCATCATCATCATCATCCTCATCATCATCATCATCATCATCACTACCAGCATCACCATCATCACCACCACCACCACCATCATCAACATCATCCCCATCATGAACAAATTCATCATCATCACCACCACCACAGCCATCATCATCACCATCATCATCGTCATCGTCATGGCTATCCACATCCTCATCCTTCTCATCGTCCTCCTCATCCTCACCCTCATCATCTTCATCATCATCAGCATCATCATCACCACCATCACCATCAGCATCACCACACCACCACAATCATCATCAGCATCCTCACTATGAACAACTTCCTCATCCTGATCATCATCATCGTCATCATCATCATCATCAGCAGCAGCATCAACAGCGTCATCATCATCACGATCATCAGCATCATCACCACCATCACCAGCATCAGCATCATTGGCATCATCACCATCAACAGCAGCATCATCATCGTCATCATCATCTGCAGCAGCATCAACAGCATCATCATCATCATCATCAGCAGCATCAGCAGTATCATCATCAGCAGCAGCAGCATCCTCATAACGGCTGTCCTAATCCTGGAGGCACGTGGTGGTCAGACGTGACGGCCTCCCGTGCCTCCTCGAAAAATCGCCACCCAGAATACTGGGGTGGCACGACAGCGGGACTTGCTGCAGGCACCTAGGTATCGTACTTAGCTTACGCGCAGGTGCATGCTACAAAATGTCCCCTTGGCAGGACTCGACTTGTCTTGGCTTTGGCCAGATTAGTGTGGTTTGGTTTGGCGTGGCTCGGCATTGGCATGCGTCCCCTATTCTAGTCTGGTTTAGCGCATTCAGCCTTAAGGTGGAATATGGTCATGAATAATTGCTTGTGCTGAGCCGTAGTCCACCGGCCCCCTTGCGGGGTCATCAGGCTCCGCGGCTTAAGCTTGCTGCTCCCTGCTCCAGTTCCAGATTCCAGTCTCCGATGTTACAACTCTGCGTGCTGCTTCCTACTGTGGCTGGTTGAAGTCCGCGAGAGGGGGGGGAGCCGAAAAGGGCCCTGGTTACCTTCACCTGGGGAGGTTCTCAGAGCTTCTGGGGGATCCTGCGACACGAATAAATACATGAGATTCGCGCACCCGAAACCATAATCCTTGTAAAGAACTCCAGTTTCGCGCCCCCGAGGCCATAATACATTATCAATTACACCAGATTGGCGTCCCCGAGAACATAAACCCTTGCAAGTCCCACCAGCCCTCTGGGCGTAGGTGGTCTAACGATATCGTTCTTTCCTCTTCTAAAGAAAACCCTCTTCCCTTCAGGGAGGGGTACCCTCCCCCTCCCCTCCCAGGGCTTTTTCGGGGAAGGGCCGCGTTTTCATCAGAGGGCCCGTTTTCACTCAAGATGGCTCCAAGAAGGGCCCCCGATGCTCCAAGATAGCCTCCAAGATGCATCAAGTTGGCACAAGATCGCTCAAGATGACCTCCATCATGCCGCCAAGAGGCCCCAAGAGAGCCACAAGACGGTTCCAAGTGCTCTCGGCAACCCCTCAGGACCCCTCCAACAGCCAAAACTCCTTAAATCATTTTAGGAAAATTGATGACTTGTGCTGTCGGGCCGTTTCGCTTCCGATGCGTTTTGGGGACCTCAAGATGGCCCCAAGATGACCCAAAAGGCCCCAAGAGGGGCCCCAGAGGCGCCCAAGACGGCACCAAGAGCGCCCAAGAGCGCCCCAAAAGGCCCCAAGAGGGTCCCAAGAGGCGGTTTTGCAGGCCCCAGGGGGGGGACCTAGATCTGGACCCCCCCTTCCTTTGATCGATAGCCTCCAAGATGGCCCCAAGAGGCGCTCCAGGGCTCCCAAGAGAGCCCCAAGAGAGCCCCAAGAGGGCTCCAAGAGGGCCCCAAGGAGGCGCCAAGACGGCCCCAAGAGTGCCCCAAGACTCCCCAAAAGAGCCCGCGGCCCCCAGGGATGGCCCAAAGAGGCTTTCCAAGGCCACTCCCTTGCTCCCAGAGATCTCTCTGTTCACACTGGTTGTTCGCCTTGTTTCACTAGATGTGTCTCTTCGTCCCTTTTCCCGTATTGTGTTCGCGCTCCCAAGACCATAATCCCACGTCAATTACGCAATAGTCGCGTCCCCGAGGCAATACGCTTTCGCACATTACATAATAGCTGCGTCCCCTACGCAACGGTCCCTCGTAAATTACACGTGATTCGCGTCCCCAGAATCATAAACCCTCGTAAAATACACAGCATTCGCGCTTTCGAAACCACAATCCTTCATAAAAGGCCCCCAAGACGGTACAAGAGGCCTCCGAGACGGCCCAAGAATGCTCCAAGGCGGTCCCAAGACGGCCCAAGAGGCTCCCAAGACCGCTCCAAGAGCACTCCTGAGAGAGGCCCAAGAGGTCAACATCTGCGATTGTCCTTTGGTTGTTTTATAGAGTTTGGCACGCTCGCCTCTTCGGGCTTCCGACGCTCAAAAACGGCCCAAGAGGCCCTCCAAGACCGCCCCAAGACGGCCCAAGAGCATCTCAAGAGCGCCCCAAGACGGTTCAAGAGGGCCCCCAGACGGCTCAAGAGACCCCCAAGACGGCCTAAGAGTGACCCGAGACGGGGGACAGAAACCTAAGTGGTCCCCGTTCGGAGCTCCGACGCTGCTTCATGACGGCGCCCAGGCCTCACCACATCGCTCGTGCATATCCCAATCCGAGAGAGGGGGCTGGCGGCAGGGGGCGAAGTCCTTACGACTTCTATCTCGGACTTAGCTTGGAAATCAGCTGAGCATGCAGATGTAATTAGATTACGCTGTGAGAGTGGCTTCAGCGTGAAAGTCGTCTTCAAGTGTAGCTGCAGCCATGGCTGTCCTACTAGCTCAAGCTCCAGCAGGAGCTTTGCCCGGCCTCGCCCAAAGCCCAGATCGGCTGAACTTTACTCAGTTGTGCTCTGATTCGCGACGCCTTCTTTGGCAGCGTACCTTACCCTGCGGACGTGGCCGAGCCCCGAGACTGGCCTCCAGAGGCCCAGGATGTCGAAGGACCAGCCGCCTCGACGTTTGCTCGAGCCGCGGGGTGCCCGGAGGCGTGGAGCACAACCGTCCGCGCCCCGAGCCGTCCTCGGCGGCGCGCAGAGGGGGGGCGTGGGGGAGGGGGGAAGGCTTCTCGGAAGGAGGCTGCTTCATGGAAGGCGCGGGCCCTACGTCTACAGACGCAAGGCCAGCGCCTCCCAAGGCGCCGGGCGCCCTTCGAAGAAGCCGCCCCCCCTCCCCCGCACCCCCGCCTGCACGCCGCCAACCTCCCCCGAGGAGCCTCAGAAGCTACAACGTCCGCGAGTGGTACCAGCAGCACAGCAGAGAGCAGTGGCCCTCGGTCGCCTACCTGCTCGCCATTCCTTCCCCCATCATCCACCCCTCCCTCGTCCTCCCTGTTCACCCCCTTCATCCTCCTCATCGTACCTCTCTCCCTCCTTCGCGTCCCCACCCCATCGGAGCTTCGGGGCGCGACCCCAAGGGGGAGGGCGGCCGCCGATCCCCAGAGCGGCTGCCGATCCCAAGGGGGGGGGGGGCACGGCGGCAGCAGGCGCGAGGGGCGCCCCAGGCCTTCGCGGCCACCACCAGCGGGGTGACGCCTGCGGGGCATCCGCGTGGGGTGGGCAGGGCAGACGGCGATGCAGATCAGACGCGACGAGCTGTGTGGTTACAGTGATGGTGACAGCGCTGAAGATGGCGATGCGACGGCAGAGGGAAAGGAGCAGTGGACAATTACACAATACGAACACTACTCTCCTCTCTCCCCTGGTGGCGTCCGGGGAATGTCTGGCCCCCCTCCGCGTACTGTCTTTTTACATACGGGATTCCTGGGAGTTGTGTTTTCGCTTGGGTTTGTTCCGAAATGCTGCTCTCGCTGAAGAGCTGGCCTCATTTTCGAGCTACCGCTTATTCCGAATCGTGCTCCCGCTGCAGCGCTGGCATCATTTCCGCGCTTCCGCTCGTTGCGAATCGTGCTCCCGCTGCAGCGCTGGCGTCATTATTTCGAGTGTCATGCCCTGGCATGGTTTTCGGTCCTTCCAAATAGGCACCAAAATCTAAAAAATGGCCTCCCGAAAGAACCATCGGATGCTACTCTCGCTGAAGAGCTGGCCGCATTTTCGGGCTACGGCTCGTTCCGAAACGTGCTTCCGCTGCAGCGCTGGCATCATTTCCGCGCTTCCGCTCGTTGCGAATCGTGCTCCCGCTGAGCGCTGGCGTCATAATTCGAGTGCCATGCCCCGGCATGGTTTTCGGTCCTTCCAAATAGGCCCCAAAATCTAGAAAATGGCCCCCGCGAAAAAATCATCGGAAGTGATTACACATTCGGTGTCGATTCGTTGATTTTCTTGGGCCGCGGAAGCCCCCCCCACTTTGGGGCGTCGCCACGCCATGCATGTCAGGCCACGCGTCCTCATTTCCGCGCTTCCGCGCTGAGTTTTTTTTCAAAATGCTGCTCTCGCTGAAGAGCTGGCCTCATTTTCAGGCTATCGCTCGTTCCGAATCGTGCTCCCGCTGCAGCGCTGGCATCATTTCCGCGATTCCGCTCGTTACGAATCGTGCTCCCGCTGCAGCGCTGGCGTCATTATTTCGAGTGCCATGCCCCAGCATGGCTTTCGGTCCTTCCGAATAGGCTCCAAAATCTAGAAAATGGCTTCCCGAAGAAACCATCGAAAGTGATTACACATTCAGCGTCGATTCGTTGATGTCTTGGGCCGCAGAAGCCCCCCCAAACCTTGGGGCGCCGTCACGCCATGCTATGTCATGTTACGCGTTGATCTTCGACACCTGCTATGCCATGTAGTGCTATGCCATGCTACGACATCCGATAGTGCGAATAGAGAGGAGATCTACGCCATGGTAAGGGATGGGAGGGAGGGGTAGGACGTCAGATATGACGCGAGCACACCTAGCTTGACACTCCCCCTCTTCCCAAACACTCAAAGTTGGCACGCGCGAGGGAGAGTGCGGTCGAAGTGCAACTTATCAGACCCACCGCCAACTCTGAACATTGTGGGGCGGGGGAGGCGGTGACCGATGAATGTGACAGGAGTGTTCGCTACTTTTGTCCGAGGCCTGTATGATGATGGCAATGACGTTTGTGATGAAGACGACGCCGACAACGACGACGAAGGTGACGATGACGGTGGCAGTGGCGGTGACGATGCTATCGATAACGATGTTGATCATGGCCATAATGTGTTGGCGATGCGAAGATGTTTGCGCCTCCTCCAAGAATCTGGACGCGAGACCCCGAGGCCCCGAGAGCAAGGGGGGGCGCAAGCGTGGGGAGAGCGAGCCTCCCCGGCCCCCCGAAGCAGTAGGCCCCATCATCCATCCATGTGGGCGTCGACGTCGGCCGCCTCCAGCCCAGCTACAGCCGCCCAGGCCTCTAGGAAACCTCCGAGACATGTCTGGCCTGGACGTCGGCCCTGGCCACGGGCCTCTCGTCGCGACTCTACCGTGGCACCGAGAGCGCAGCGAAATGCGAGCATCGGGCTGCGTCTGATCGGCGGTATGTCGGAATCGGATCGGATCAGGCTGGCCCGAGCCGACATCAAATCGGACCGATCTGGTCGAAACGGACCCTGCGGCCGGCACCGTCGATAGGGTCCAGGTCCATGCCGACGGGCTCGGCAGGGTCCCTGTCGAGCTCGATGACGAAGTCCGCGCCCTGCCGAGCGGCAGGGCAACGCGCAGGCGGTCGTCGTCATCGCCGTCGGTCTTCGCTGGTCGTCGCCGGTCGTCGTGGCCGTCGCTGGTCGTCGTCGGTCGTCGTCGCCGATCGTCATCGTCAAAGTCATCGTCGTCACTGTCGCCGGCCGTTGTCGTCGTCGGTTGTTGTCGGTCGTCGTCGTCGTCGTCGTGTGCTGCTGGTAGTCGTCGGTCATCGTCGGTCCCCGTCGTCATCGACGTCGTCGGTCGCCGTCGACACCGGTTGGCGTCGGTTGTCGTCGGTCGTCGGTCGTCGGTCGTCGGTCGTCGTCGTCGGTCGTCGTCGTCGTCGGTCGTCGTCGTCGGTCGTCATCGGTTTTCGTCGGTCGTCGTCGGTCGTCGTTGTCATCGTCCCCGTCCCTCGTCCCGCAACCTTCGTCGTGGGGCCTTGGAGCAGGCCTTAACACTCGAGCTTCCGCTTCGAGAAACTCGTGCAGAGGAGAAGGGAGGAGCACGGCGACGAAGGGAACCGCTGCGCAGCCAAAGCTTTGAGGTAGATCCACTTCATGCAGACAGTCCCAGGGATTACCTATCCTATTTATTTGCTTTACCCAACCAAAAATAAAAACAACAAAAACAAAAAAACAGACAAAGAGACACAAACCAACAGGAAATGCAGCTCCGTGCACAACGCGCTAGACTCACTCCCCGTTCTTCCGTCTGATGAGTCACGGACGTACTGGCTGGCAGAGGGGAGGGGGAAGTGGAAGGAGGAGGGAGAGGAGGGGACAGGATGAAGAGTGGATACGGAATTCTCCCTCACGCGAGCAACACAAGCCCGCCCTGTCTTCACGCACAGCCGCCGCCAAGCCACCCCTGCAGATGGCGAGCGCGAGCTACAGGCACCAGCACCGACCAGGCCGCAATCACTTTTGTCGAGCCCGAGCAGTGTCAGAGGCCTTGGCAGTAGTGCTGAAGATATGCTGACATCCCCCTGTGATCCAACGTGCAAGCGGCAGAAGGAGAGCAGAAGGGGGAGGAGGAAGGGGGCAAGAGCAAGCGGACTCCCACAGCCCAAAGGATGCCGCGTGCGTAGATCAACCCAAACGGACGATACCCGCACTGAGGCCCCCTCGAGCACAGGCGGGGGCCAGAAAGAGAGGGAGAGGCGAGAGGGGGGAAGTCCACGAACGGCCAATCGCTGACAGCTCCAAGGCTCCACGACACGGCGTCCCAAAAACGATGCAAGGAGAACAGATTGCAAGTATGGTTCGTGATGGTGATTGCCAGAGGCCGCACCGAAGCCGATCAGCGCGACAGCCGTGTCAGGGCGGATATCCCGAGGGGAGTGCAGCGCATATTGCCTGGCGGCCACCAGGCAGAGAACGCAAAGCACGCACATGCACACGAGAAGAAGGCGGGAGGGAGAGGTAAAGAAAAAGAGAGAGAGAGATATAAAGAGAGAGAGAGAGAGAGAGAAACAAAAAAAACAGAAAGAAGAAGAAAGATGACAGACGATGGGGCTGAGCGGAGCCTCCACAATGTGGAGAATTGATGAAGAGGCAACCTCATGTGAATCCTACCCCTGCAGTTCAGCTCTCTGAAACACTGGCGGCGGTCAGAATTCGAAGGATGCCTGCAGTCAAGCGAAGCCCAGCAGGGATGTCGCGTACCCAACGGTGGTTGCGAAAGGAGGCAGCGGAGCTTCTGTCTCCTGGCGTCGCCGCTCACGCAAACGCGGCTGGTGCGCAAGGGCGAGAAACTTCCTGGCCACACGGCCTCGTAGCACACCGCTCGGAGGCGACCGACCTGTCGCACCAAGGTCGCCCTCGCGGCATCGAGCACGGAAACCTTGTCTCCATGCGGGACATCGAGCTCCGTGCCAAGGTCGCCCCCACGGCCTCGGGCACTGAAGTCCTCAGCCTCCGTGGGGACCTCGTGCTCTTCTCTGGTGTAGCAGAGCCTCACACAGGGGACGTCCTGCTGCACCCTCCCGTCGGTAGTGTTGGTGTCCTCGGCATCTCCCAGGGCCCGCCTCGCAGCAGGCAGGCAGGAGTGGAGCCTATCGGCGGGGGTGGGAGGGCCTTCGCTGGCTTCCCCCTGCAGCGTCTTCACAGGCGCGCGTGGATCTACCGACGCTTCCACACGACGGCCCCGGGTCCCTCTTCGACCTCATCCTCCACCTTGTGAAAGTCGGTAGCCACCTGCACTGCCAAGATGACATCGGAGACGGAAACGTCTGTCGTCTCCGAAAGGACCGAGGCCTCAGAGCGGGTGGCGTCCAACTTCGCTGAGCGGGCGTAGAAGGCATCGGAAAAGGCCGCGCCCAGCACCTCCAGGAGGACAGCAGCCTCAGAGACTGGCGTCATGCTCCTGTGAGCGGGTCTCGATGGGTCAAGCAGGCCCCGAGTCAGAGAACCTAAACTCCAGCTAAGGCCCAAGCGGGTGCCCTGTTGACCCCAGAGGCCTCTGGGACTCCGCGCGGAGACATGGCGCAGCAGGCGCGGCCGCGGCCGCGGCAGACCCCAGCAGGTCCATCGAAAGACTGGCCGTCGGAGACGCCGAGAAACCAGTACAGCAGCAAGGAACGGGGATGTTTGCCGAAGCTCGCCTGGCATTCGCTCACCACGGACGGTACCAGAGAGAGCAGCGCCCAACGATTCCGAGGTAATCGAGGCCTCCTGGCCGGGTTTTCCTCTCCTGGGCGGGGCTGGATTACACACAGGGAGTAACCCTGTGGGTGGTTCAAGTCGAACGCGTCGGGGAACACAAGGAGTGCCTACCCGTTTACGCAAGGGGCCAGGCTTACAAGCGTTGGGTCTTCTACCTTCATGCTGACCAGCAGGTCCTGCAAGGTCTGCGAGCGGGCCACGGGCCGCCACTGTCCGGGTCGTGCGCCCAGCGCCCAGGCTTTGCGTGCACTTTGAGGCCGGCCGGCCTCTTGAGCGTGCCCATCAGCGGCTATCGCCCCCTGCCCCACTCCTCTGCCACGGGGCTCTTGACGCGACTGCAATGAATGTGCCCCTCCTCGGTCGCCCTCTCGACCATCTCCCCAGGCGCTGGCCCGAGCGACTTCGCGCCAAGATCCACCCCGCCACTCGCGGCGGACGCGCTGCCGCGGGAGGACAACATGTGAAGAGCTCCCGCCCGCCGCCGTGGTCCGCAGCCCTTGGACCCCCTCGGCCGTTCATGGCCGTCGCCGGCGACATCCGCGCGCCGCGCGCTGGACGCCAGATCCAGCCCCAGGGCTGCGGTGTGCGGCGCGGTTGCCAGGACGTCGGCCGGCTGCGCACCCGCAGGGCGAAAAGGTCGATACGCCCACACTTTTGGCGGCGCGGCCACGCGCGCAGCGACAAGGCGTCAAAAGGTCGAAAAAAAGGGCGCGCGCGCGCGCGTCTCAAGGCCGAGCCTTCAAGCCACCACTCAGAGCAAACAGAGCCGTATACGCCCCACACACACACACACACACACACTCATGCAGTCGGCGCGTAGAGGAGCCTCAGGCGCGGTCGGCAGGTGGAGATGCCACTTGCGAACGAACTTCGTCGAACGCGACATGATGAAAGACTTCAGCCACGGCCATGCAAATAGGTTATGCCAAAAATGAAGCGCTGCAAAGCCAGGAGGCAGCGGCCAACGAACCAGCGGAGCGGAGCGAAAGCTCGACGCAAGAGGTAAAAGCGCAACGAGCAATCGGGTGCCAATTAGCTAGAGAGGTGATGAAAAAGCTGCTAGACTGTCAGACAAGCCAGCTTGGCGGCGACGCAAAGCGCGCAGCTGCGCGACAAGGCGACGCCATCGGCCTTGTAACAGACGCGACGAAGCGCCGTGCAATTGCAAGAGGCGCGAAGGAACACACCCGTCCGAGGCAGACATGGCCTGGACAAGAACCAAAGCTGAACGCAGGCGACCGAGAGCAGCAACCGCTTCGCGCGGTGGCACACACGGGAGGTGGACAACGCAGGCAACTCCCTGGGTGGTGGACAAGCGCGCGTGGCCAACGTGCAATGCGGACGCCCCCGTTAAAATAGCAACCCCACCGCAGCCAAAGCCGCAAGGTCCACCATGGGTAGGTGGAGCCGAAACGACAGATAGACAACCACCCAAGCACAATTATTCAATAGAGACTGCACGCATCACCTCAAGGTCGCACCATGACGACCACATGCGACAAATGCGCGCAAAAAGACATCGCGGGGGGGGGGAACATATATATATACATATATATATATATATATATATATATACATCTATATATATATATATGTGTGTATATATGCATACATACATATATACATATATATACAAATGTGTATATATAGACATAGATAGAGATTGGAAAAACGCGCAAATCGAACCCGCCACCAGGCAACGCAAAATAAAAATGCAGGCGAACAAGCTAACATACAGCGGAAACCCATAAAATGCGAACGCAGCCCCAGGCGCGGATGCGCACCCCAAGTGCAGCGCAGCCGCAAGAAACGCCAAGGCGCCAGCAGCAAGGCACCCAGACCCTCGCTGGGCAAGCTGCCAGACGGAAATGGGCGCAGACCATGAACGGCGCCCGCGGAAACTGCCACGCACGCCCCAAGAATGCCAGCGCCCCAGCCTGCACGAGAGGCGCATGGCATCGCCAGGCCGCGCCCCTGAGACACCCCGGAGAGTTATGATGGTTCTGTCCTCCTCTGGGCCTTCAAAACAAGATATGTAGGAAAATGCTATTTTGATGGTTTTTAACATCCTTAAAACACATGGTGTTTTGATGCATCTTGGTTTTCGCAAACATGGTGATTCTCAGTGCCGCCAGCCGTGCGCGTGGAGTTGCATGACTGATTCGTTGTGTATTTCGCAAAGCGCATCCGCAAGTCTCTCGATTTGAAACCTACAAGCGTTTCGCATACCCTATAGTCGGCGGCAAGGAGCCACGGAAATGACGATTACCGCAGCGGTGGGGCCACTCGGCATCTT